TGTGAGCTTTGAGAGGTGTCCATGTTAATAATTTGTATTTTCATAAGAGTTCAAGGGGAAACTTCCAATTCAGACAGATAAGGAGACAAATAAATAATGCTACAAAACACCAATTACTAAAGAGCTGTGGATATGGAATTTGATCCTCTCCGGATCTTCTTATTAGGGATTCCAGAGATCAATTAATATCAATGGTTGATAAAAAATCATGTGATAACAATTATTTTTATTTATATTTTCAACAGTAAGGCAAATTCGTTTTGTGTGAAAAATATAAAAAAGAAAAAACTGTAGTTACACGATTTTTGATAAATGGTTGGTATTAATTGATTCTTAAGATTCACACTGAAAAAATCAAGAGAGGATCTAATTCTGCACGATATAGCACATCATATTGGAACTTTGACTTTCACGTCCTTAAGAAAATCATTTCATGGAATATTGGTGGAGTTTTGATTTCTATTTTTCAGTCAATTTTGAACATTACATGTGTTTGGAGACGAGTTGACCGGTGGTTTCCTTTTTAGTTTGGTAAGGCCATCTCCAACCGATGGTTGGCCAGATGATTCGTTTTAGCCCTCTGGCCCTCCAAGATTCTCCAAGATATTAATATTTTAATGAACAGTACAGGGCCATATTTGCCTCCGTCTCCAACCGAGGGCCAGAGGGCCAGAGGGCTCGTTTTAGCCCTGTCACAGAAAACCGTCTCCAACCGAGGGCCAAAGGGCCATAGGGCCAAACATAATTTATTGTTTAAAAACTACAACTTAATTTTATTTAAAAATCATGTTGGTTAGTGTTGTATAATTTTTATGTTGGTTAATGTTATTTAATGTTGTTTCATATTGTTTAATGTTGTTTCATGTTACTTAATTTAATTTAATGTTGTATAATGGTTTAGGAAGTTATAGGAAAAAAATAGAATTTAAAAAAAATATGAAACAAATTTTGTGAAATAGAAGTTATAGGAAAAAAATGGAATTTAAAAAAAAATATGAAACAAATTTTGTAAAATAGAAGTTATATGAAAAAAATATGAACCAAATTTTGTAAAATATAAGTTATAGGAAAAAAATAGAATTAAAAAAATTGAAACAAATTTTGTAAAATAGAAGTTATAGGAAGTTATAGAAAAAAAAAGAAAAAAAAAGGTTTAAATTCATAAAAAAAAAAAAAAAGGTTTACAACGGCTAGTGGCGCTAGCCGTTGGAAGTTTAAATTCAAATTGTTATTTCTGTCGGTTATAACCGACAGAAATAATATATATTATATATATTATATTATTTCTGTCGGTTATAACCGACAGAAATGAGAAACATTAAAAAAAAAATAGCCAGCCCGGGGCTGGCTGGCTGGCCGAAAGCAGCCAGCCCTCCAGCCCTCCAGCCCTCCAGCCCTCCAGCCCTCTCCGATCTCGTGGGGCCCTCCCAGATTCCCGAGCCCTCTGGCCTAGCCTTCGGTTGGAGACGGTTTTAGGGCTATTTTCGGCCCTCTAGCCCTCTGGACCCTTCGGTTGGAGATGGCCTAATATTTTTTAGTGTTTTACGACGCTCTGCTTAGCAAGTTTGTGCAGTTTAGGAGATTTGTGTATTTTGTCTAGTGGTGGCTATACAGCTGTTATAATTATCAAAGGGGGTATTCAAAAATTGCTTTTGTTATGTAATAATGTTCTATATTTAAAAATTGTTTTTGTTATCATTTTAAAATCTCATCATGTACTCATTATAAGCGTAATTTTTTTTCCTTTCAAAATATAAAAATTTGGAGTATAATGAGATATTTTTAGTGTTAATAATAATACCTTAAAAGGGTATTTTTTTTCTTCTCAATTTTATTATATAATAATGTTAAATTTCAACCGAAACTTTAAAGTTAGAGTTTTTGAAGTTTTTTTCTTCTTATGTGGTTGTTTAAGATTGAACTGTTTTTTATTATTTAGTGAACATTATGTTTGTTGCTTTTTTTACTTATTATTAATGATATTTTTAAACTTACAATCATTGCGTGCTAAATTTTGTTTTGATTTAATTGATTGCTTTTGCGGCTTAGTACTGCGTTCTAGTACTATTCATCTTCACTTATAAGTCAGAGGTCTTAGGTTCAATTCTTGCTAAAGACGAATTAAACTACATTATTGCTGCCCATTGTGAACCTTAGCCTACTTCTCCACCTCATTAATGTAGATAATATCGTTTATTAAAAAAAAAGTGATTGCCTTTATAAATTTCGCACAGGACCCCTAAAATCTCATAGACAGCCCTGGTAATTATATTATTGGTTGTGCGAATTTCTTTTCTCATCAAGAAATTGATAGTTGAAGAAATGTACCCATTTGACATCTCATTATAATTTTTATGTTCTTAGCATCAATCTTTCTTTTCAAGGTAAGAAGATGTTCGAAATTTAGTTCGTCACTATATCATGTTCATAAAATATCATTATTATTACCAATTCATAATTATAACACGTGAATTAATATTAATGTTACTGTCACTTGCAAAGTTGTACAAACATGAATATTTTGATTTTTATTTGGGTTGTCCTATCCATACATTTTTTTAATTCTCACATATTATTTTTTAATTTTTGTTCTTTAATTACCTTTATTTAATCTCACGATAAAAAATTAAGAAAAGCACATGAGAAACGTGTGTGGACGGCACAATCCTTTTCTTTTTATTTCTGTTGATCTTGTCTTTCCGCAAAGCAAGGAAGCAAGGCATCAATTCGAAAAGCCGTCTCTCTTCAGCATTTGCAAAGATTATTATTCCATGCGAACCCCACCCATACGTCACCCGTCCATATTAGTGATTTGATGCATTTGCTTTGTTTTTTATAACATTGCTTTTTTGTAGGTTTATTCCAAATTTGAACTTGCAACGCACTAAATAATAAATTTTGGTTCCATACAAGGTAAGTATATTATTTACTAGTATTTAATTAGATTTAGGGCTCCGATTTGAAGGACTCGGTTCGATATTCCAATTCAAGGAAAAGACTCAATAACGTGTTGACCAAAATTCACTTCAACAAATTAATTACTTGGAGATAATTGGAGTATATTCAACCTAGATGTTTCCATTTACGCCCAATAGTCAAAATGATGTCTTTAATATTTATTGAAACCCACTTATGTTATCCATTCTCCTTTGTGTACGTATTTTTGTCATCTTAATGAATATCGTATTTTAAAAAAAATATTTAATTGATCAAAATTACTTCAAAATTGGTTGGTTTTATTTAAAAAATTATTATTATTATTAACGTATTTATCAAAATTAATTCAAAATGGTGTCTTTTGCCAACTATTCTTATGTCGTATGTGGCTGATTTTTACTATAGTGGGAATTGGGATGCAAAATGCTTGATCCATTTCCTTCCTAAAGTAATTGTCTATAAAATTGTTAATATTATTGTGGATAGTATTTTGGTGGCTTGTTCGACAGGTGTATATGAAGACCAACTAGTGATAGTAATTTTACTATAAAGTCTGTCTATGTGTTGACCTAGGCGCTAATATGAACACCAAGTGGCGATGAAATTTTATCTGGGAGTTACATCTTCCGCCTAAAGTGTTATTTTTTCTTTGGCTTTTGTTGCTAGACAAATTATTGACCAATGAACACTGAGTTACACGTGGGTTGGCTAGCATTCTTCATGCGGGAAATGTGATGGTGTTTTTAAATCAATTGTTCATGTTCTTTTGCTGCTAAGGCTCGAAGAAAATTTCCTGCTCTTGACAGCTTTTTACTGATGCACTTACTAACAATTAGTTCCAAAATCATATCTCTTCCAAAATATTAGTCTTGGTTTTTTCTATAACTTACTGGTTTTTGTGGTATTGGCAAAACAAAAATATTTTTTAACATGATTTTTCTCTCCTTAGTGATTCCAACTTAGTTATTATTGTCTACTTGAAAGCCATAGAGCCCCTTCGAACATATACTTTTCTTCATTGGGAACCTCTTCCTAAGTGTTGGGTAAAACTTAATGTTGATGGGTGTCGCAAGGGGTTGTCCAATTTCATCGTTGGTGGTGGTGTTCTCAAAATCTCGTAGGGAACATGGGCCTCTGGTTTTTTTTGCTAATGTTGGTCGAGGTGAGATTCTATGTGTTGAAGTTAGGGGTATTTTTATTGGACTACAACTTGCTTGGAATAATGAGTTTGAGAAGATTATGATAGAATTCGATTATGCACTTGCAGTACAATTAATTTTAAATGCAAAAGTGGATAATCACTCATGGGGAAGTTTAGTATTGAATTGTCATGCTCTTATGCATCAAAGTTGGTTTTGTGAAATTTGACATATTTGCCGTAAAAAGAATTTTGTTGGTGATGATTTGGCATGTTTGGGTTTGTCATGCAATTTGGGTCCAGTCTTTTTCTAGCAAGCTCTTCCTTCTTGTCATCCGTTGCTAGTTGCAAATATAGCTAGAGTCTCATGATCTCAAGATATTCTTATGTAATATTTCCTTTTGAAACAACAATTTTTAATTTAGGAATCAAAACTCTAATTAGACCAAAGTCCATGAATCAATGCTTAAAAATTTATACATGACTTTTTAACCAAAATGGTCTATGAGATTTTTATAACTCATTTATTTGGTCCCTAAGATTTGAAATCAATAAAAATGATCTCTGAGATTGTCCACCATCAATCATTTTGGTCATTGGGTGAAAAATTATGTTAAATAGGGATCCAAATGACAAAATTACTCTCAATTTAATAAACAATAAGTCAAAATGACTTAACCAAAATTGAGGGTATTTTTGTTATTTTATTCTTATTTTATAGAGATTTTTCATGAAAGAACCAAAATGATTAATTGTGGACAAACTCATGGACCAATTCTATGGATTTCAAATCTCAATGATCAAAATGATAAGTTATGCAAATTTTAGGATCTATTTTGACTAAAAAATCTTTATATAATTATAAATTAAAATTACAAAAAAGGACAGGACCTTTACTTCTACATGGTTTGGTTGGTTCCTTGGGACATGGGTTTCTTTCACACACTCAACCCATGCACACATAGAATCTCATCCCCGTCTCCCTCTCTCTCAAGAAACCCCATTTCGCCACCATTTCTCAGAGTCACAGACAGAGACAGACACAGACCCCATCTTCTTTGGACTCTTCCTTTCTTAGGGTTTCGCAGTTTTGATTCTTTAAGTTCTTGAGCCCTGATCTTGTGCCCTCAAAAGAAAGTAGAATTTGTATTTTTTCTTCTGAAAACCCACAAACTCCTCGGTTTTACTGTGTCAATTCCCCCATTGCGCGTGTGATCACAGAAACACAAAAAGGTCTCCAACTTTTAAACATTTTATTCCTTTGGGTTGCTCTGTGGTTTTGTGTTGAACATCGTTTCTGGGTGGCGGATATTTTTCTCTTGTGAGAATTTTCCCGGAAATTTCATTTCTTTGAGGGTGGAAAACAAAACCCACCTGAAATTATCATCTGGGGAAGCTTGATCCTCTGTAGTCACAGCTCAGAGAGATCACCACTTCAAGCTCCACATTGTCGAATTCCAAGATTACCCATTTCACCATTCGCACCAAGAATTGCGTTTTGGAAGCTGATCACGCTTGGTTTCTTTCAGGCATTTTTACAAACACCTGGGTGCAATTGACCTGGATTTGAATTTCTTGGCTCTGTTCATCTCGTTTCTTTCCCTTGTAGAAGCCATGGGTTGTGTCCATGGCAAGTGTTGCGGCCGGTACCCCCAGTCTTCCGATGGTGATCTCCGGGACTTCAGAGATGCTGGTCCGTACAGCGCTCAGAGGAAGCACATACTCTCACGGAGGTCATTGGAGTTCGTCCCTGTTCCTTCACACGGCTATCGTTTGGAGTACTCTTTGTTAACACAGCGCGGCTACTATCCTGACTCGCCGGATAAGGAAAACCAGGACAGTTTCTGTGTTAGTACGCAAGTCCGAGGTAACCCGAATATCCATTTCTTTGGTGTGTTTGATGGGCATGGCGAACTTGGTACCCAGTGTGCTAATTTTGTTAAGGACAGGTTAATAGAGATATTAGCCAATGATCCCACATTGTCAGCTGACCCTGTGAAATCTTACAATTCTGCTTTTCTAACGACGAATTATGAGTTGCATAATAGTAAGATTGATGATACTATGAGTGGTACCACGGCAATTACTGTGCTTGTTATTGGGGATACCCTTTATGTCGCGAATGTGGGTGATTCGAGAGCAGTGATTGCAGTTACAGATGGTAATAGAATTATTGCAGAGGACTTGTCTTGTGACCAAACACCATTTAGGAAAGACGAGTATGAGAGAGTAAAGCTGTGTGGGGCCAGAGTTATGAGTGTTGATCAATTGGACGGGCTGAAGGATCCAGATATCCAGACGTGGGGTGATGAAGAGAGTGCAAGTGGTGATCCACCAAGGTTGTGGATTCCAAATGGAAGGTATCCTGGAACTGCGTTTACAAGGAGTGTAGGTGATGGCACCGCTGAGACGATTGGTGTGGTTGCCACTCCAGAGGTTTCAATGGTTAAGCTGACACCTAATCATCTCTTCTTTGTTGTCGCAAGTGATGGAGTTTTCGAGTTCCTCTCAAGCCAAGCTGTGGTTGATATGGTATGTCACTTTGACCATTTGTAGACTGCAATAAAGCAATTCTTTCATTGTTTGTTACCCTTTTAAATGATGCTCAACTGAATTTGTTATTGATGCATTGTATTTGAATGTCTCATTGCTAATACATTGATCTTTTGCCGCTTTTGGTATCTCACGGATAGTTCATCATCTTGCATGTTGTACAATGACCTAGGCAAATGATTGTTTGTATGCTCTTGTGTCCATGTTGGTCTATGATACATTGGGATTTGTTAGCTCTCGACATATAAAGCAATAAGTACGGAAGAAACCTCTATTGCCATCAGAAAATAAGTTGTTATTTGGAGTTGATTTTATAAGTATGGAAGAAACTTCAAATATCGTTGTGGAACATCGTTGATAAAACTATCTTGTCATTGGCATATCTAATATGGTTGTTGAGTCTGAGCTCAATATAAACTAATGGTTGCACTATTGGTAGCTCATTTAGAATCATTAATGTCATGTTGTCGTATTTGTACCAAAGAATATTCCAAAAGTAGAAGTTGCTTGTGTACTTTTCCTCTTTAGCATCTATGAACTGCTAAGTCTTTTGCCATTTTACAGTTTGCAAGCAAGTTAGCGTTTGAGGTACTGCCCTTTTGTGTCCATATATCTTCTACCTGTGTAATTGACCAATTTATATGTGGATTTCATCCTGTATAGTTACAGAGTTTTCATTAAATATGTAATTATTAAGCATTAATGCTATACACCAAAAAGAATAAAATGTCAAACTGTTTTCTCTTTTTAATTTTTAAATATTTCTATTACTATCCTTCCGGCTCACAAATATTCGCACACAATTCTTCGTACAGGCGGCAAGATATCCAGATCCTCGAGATGCATGTGCTGCCATTGCTGGAGAATCATATAAATTATGGTTGGAACATGAAATCCGGACAGATGATATAACAATAATCATCGTTCACATCAAAGGCTTGTCCAATGTATGAATTGTATAAACCTTCCCTTAATTTTATTACCTTTTCTTTAGGCTGATTCCAATGCCCCTGCTTTGTACGAACTCCCATCGGTACTCATAGTGGTAAGCTGTAAGATTCTTGGGTGTAGGATATGTGGTCCCTAGGGGCTTCCATAATAAGGTTACACTTTTGCTTCTGTTTGGGTTCTATTGTAAAGTTGCACATTTTAAGCGGTAAATTTCTGATCATCCGATTTAGCAGGGTGACATCGGACACTGGGTAACATATGCCCCATGTCCAGAAGATGATTTAAATTTACAACTAGCTTGATGATATTATCTATAACATGAAGGAATAGAGGAATAGAGGAATAGAGGAATATGAGAAATCCTATTACACTCCTATCGTATTGCTGCTTCTTATTGCGTTGCACATGACACATGCATAATCTGATATTAGCTATAGAGGGCATTGTTTTCCGATGTACGCTCTATTGATTGGCTCGTTTACCAACTTTATATTGTGCGTGCTACAGTCAGCTGGTGGTGCTACAGATGGAGCTAGTGGGGCCAATAATAGGCCAGCAACAAGGGTGAGAAAAACTTCCGAGTCATCTGTTACCACTGGGTCGGAAGTTTACCGTTCTGTGAGAAGTGATTCCTCAGAAATACAGTCTTGTCAGCTTGTGCTTTCGATGAATCGAAGCCCAGCTATTGTTGTTCCATCTCCTACATGTCAGAGCCCTGTGAGTTGGTATGTCTGTTAAGCTGTCATATATCATTCTGTGACTATTATGCTACAACTATCCATTTATGTTCCCTCCATTGACTGCAGTGGTTGAACTGAAGGGCCTTAATGGAGCTGCCACACGTCTCCTTGTTATTTTTCTTAAGTGGTACTTATTTACTTGATGTTCCCTTCAGTCCTTTTATATCAGATACAATTCCAATTAAGTTGACCATAACGAGCTTATTATGGGAGAGATCACTTTGGAGAGTCAATCAATGCCTTTGTTCAAATACCTGATTCAACTTTTTCTGATTGCAGGATGTGTGTTAGCGGTGCATTCAGCCGTTGCCAGAAGCGTTGGTTCTGCATGTAGAAGATGTTCCCCTGAACGCTAATCTCACTAATAACACGGTTTTTGACCTATGTGATATGCCTGGAGAACATATTCTCTTCTGCTAATCCAACAATATAGATAGAGGGAGGAAATGAGATTGAAGTAGGAGGTACATACAGAAGGTTCATTTACATGGAAATTAGGGTGAACATTTCACATACTTAATCTTCTTGTTAGTCTCGGTTGTAATTCGTCATCTCCTAAAACTTAACGATGATGAGTAGATATAACATATTGTGTATTCTCCTGCCACTTCTCTATATGTATAATATGGTTTCCTCTTGAGACAGAAATGGATTCTTAACTGATTTAGGCATGACCTACTTATGAGCAGTAAATTGCGCTTTATGTAACGCTATGGTTAGCGTTTCAGAATTCGAATCTTGTTTAGCTTTGTTAAAGATGAGAAGACGTGTGGTGTTATTTGGATGCTGATTTTTGAGCAATAATGTTGGATTGGATTCAATAATGTGATCAAGGTATGAGATTGTCATGGAATGTGGGGCTCTTTTCATGTTGTTTGTTTCCTCATCAAGTGGCAAAATCTTCAGTGCAAGAGTGGCCTACATGCCTTCACCTTTCTTGGCAAACCTCAATTCTTATCCTAGCGATAACTACTTTGCCCGAAAATTGTAGATCTTGGTTATTGACCATCAATCAAGTGCTCCATCAAGGTGCTGTTCAATGCAGAGCAGAGCACCTTCTTTTTTGGGAGCCCGCGGCCTAAGAAAGAAAAAGATTAAAGTTTACGTGCAAGCATGCGTTTGGCGTCTTTTTAGATTATCATTGTGGGGTTAGGACTTCGGAGTAAAGCATCCCCAACTTGGTATATCTCGTCAGGTAAATACAATATTGTTACAACAAATATTACACGTAATACAAAATTCGTACAAAAAATCGTTAGAAGTTAGAAAAAAATGGACAGCTTCTCGTCTATCACATTCTGTAACATGTTACACTGTTCTAACAATATGCTTAATTTTTCAGCCCCCTTGCCCACTTCTCCAGTCACCACCATTTCTCTGCCAGCATTCTCCAACCTCCCATTTTCGTGGGGTACGTTTTCTATTTCCGCTTGACCATTGTGCGCTAAACTTCGTTCATCCTCCATCCAGTCCGTTCTATTCGGGGTCTCGTGGATTTCACCATTAGGAGATGTTTCAGGAACAGCTACACCAGATTCTACCAAGGGCTGACCTCTATGGGATGAAAGAGGGGCGCGCCCAACTTCGAGGATTTCATCCAGAGACAGCTGATTAAGGTAACAGGGCGAAGGTCCGGTATCTTCAAGCCCCAACTTACCCAGATTTTCAAAAACTGCGTTAAGATGAGGACTCTCCAATACATAAGCTGACAAAAAGGCCCCATTGGCTAAACCCATTAACCGCCAGTTGAAAATTCGTCTGAAGATCATAACCCAATTCGGGACTATATAGCAGCACGAGTCATGGCGCTCCAGCCGACAGCTTCTTTGTAGCATTACAGGTGCCTCTTTTATAGCAAGTGCAAGTCCCATCATCTTACTTGAATTCGTCAGGTACTCGATCAAGCCATTTTCAAGTTCACCTCTCAGGTTCTCAATCTCCTTTCCTGCATTACAACATTGGGGTAGCCACGAAATATGGTCGGGAAAAGCTAGAAGCCTACAATCCCCTAGTGCTGACATTAGCGGTTCAACTTTTTCCGCTGAGCTCCATCCTACGCTTGGCAAGCACCATTTCACAACCCTGTACTCATCACTGAACTCCTCCAGCAAAGCAATCTCAGGGCAAGGCCAACTGGATGGATTTGATTTGACAGCAGCAGCAATTTCCTTCTGTGACCAATCCAATGCTTCATTGAAGGCAAGGATACAGTTGTCTGGACCTGCTTCATAATCTTTCATTCTGCCTAGTGGCTCCAGTGAAGAATTCAAGTGGGTAAGAACGAGTTCGCGTGTTTTCACATGATGAAGAATGGGTTGAAGGGGCGATTCACTTGCAAGCCACCGGAGCCCCTCCCTAAGTCGGTTGTCACTGAAAAAACCATCCAATCGTCCCATTTGCTGGCTTTCAACAAGCGGAACAACCAGAAAGCTGCTTATTCGTGACTTATCCAAGTCATGGAGACCCAAATTATCAACAATAGTGGAGTCATTAACATTGTTCTTGTAAGAGCCACTTAAGATCAGAAGGGGCAAGCAGGAACCATAAGGTATCGACATCAGAAGGTTATGAAGACGGACTTTTTGCAAATTCCAAGGGATGCTGTCAGATGTAAGGAACAAAACAGCACTTGCACCAGATACACTCTGACATAGGTTATCAAAACTTGCATCCCTGACCACAGACAAATAGCAATTCAGATCTGAACCAGATTGGCCACGAACCCATTTCTTCCATACAGAGACACCAGGAGATGAAACTACAAGATCCTCATCATCATTGTCCACATCATTTGCTGAAGGCATGAGCTTTGAAAGCAACCAGGGGGCTGCTCCCAAGACATGGCTCCTCTGCCCTAGGTCATCACCTTCTAGATTGTTCATCTGAGAACATAAAACAGTTTTCCAACAGAGGCATCTAGCATCCGGATTTCTTGTGCCCAGTATATCCGCTATTACATCTGAAACATTAAGTCTTGACCATGACTGACCATGGTTTTTATATCTCTCCCTCAAGACGAGATCAATGTCAAACTCGCCAGAAGTGCTTGGTTGCTACAAAATGAAACAAAAAATTGTTCCAAGGCCAAGATAAATAATCAGTTGGATTTCTTTCCTAGCTAATGAACTATGTTCTAATAGATGTAAACACAGCTCTCCTATAGGAACAAATGCTTCATAAAGTCAGAAAAGAACATTATGGGACAAGAAATCCAGTAAGACAGCAGTGAACAAAGAAACAATCTCTGAAATCCAACAATTTAATTATCTCCATTGACGAAACTATTGAATCATGCTCGAACCCACAACACCCAACTAAAGCTACCTAAGCTCACAAAGAAGAAAATCTACTGCCTTTATGACTGTCTTTTAAGCACAAACAAAAACAAACTTGCACGATAAAGCAGACAGGTATTTTAGTTTCATAAAATTGAAAAGGCTTACATCTGTCTTGAGTTGAATTGGTGGCCCCAATGATAAAGAGTTCAATGCAGCAATTGCTGCCAACTGTTTTTTCTCTCGCAATTCTCTTAGCTTCCGAGCACGCCACGTCCATAATCTGATGAGAAGAAAAGTGAGAGCATGAAGGTACAGGATAACAATAGCCTCAACATATAGCCAAAGAAGTACAACAAGCTACATACCTCAGTATCAACTTAAGTTTTGCCTCCGCAATTTCTTCCTGTTGAGAACTCTCCATAACATCATTGTTTTCATCTTTCTGATGAAGATCTGGAGGTTCCTCGTCTTCCAACTTATCAGTTACCATAATTTGGATATCTGGGTATTCCTTCCCGGAACTATATATACCAACAGATCTCTCTTGTACATATGTTTTTGACTCAATTTGCAGTGGCATTCGTTCCATGCCAGAATGCATGCTTGTCTCTGGAGAGTTACTAAAAGGAGCATCATAGTTTCGCTTCTCAATGGTACCAACTTTATCCCACAGGGAAGGAGACACAGCAGCCACCTTAGGGGAATCTTTACTGTATTGACCAAAAATTGGTGTTTGAATCATTGCTGCTTTTGTCTGGCATCTTTTGGGGGTGAAAAAGCTTCAAAATTAGGCATTTCTTCATCAACTTCATGGACAGGTTTTGTAACTTCAATGGCTGGGGCACGACGAACAGGATTTTTCTTTTCAACATATGAAATAACTTTTGGTTCAGGCTTATTTGACTTAGTCAACTGAGTCTTTTTTGTTGCTTTAGAAGACAAGGGTATGACTTGACTAGAAGCCAAAACATCCTCTACTATCCTTCTTGACTTTTTCATATCAACAAGTTTAGCACACTTGGTAGGATAATCCTCATCACCATTGAGAAATGGACCTTCCTTCACAATATATGGCTCCTGGAATGACTTTATTACAAACCCATGATACTCTGAAAGGCTTTCAATTTCATCTTCCTAATTTCAATCATCAAAGCAGAGCATCAGATAAGTTAAAATGGTTCCTCCTTCGCCACAGGGTACCGAAATGGAATGGTAATCAAACCAAAGAATCATACCTCCATTGCCAGCCACTTGGCAGCATCCGCAATAGGGAGACCTTGGTTATTCTGGAGACCTGCGTGTATAGAAGCAAGTGCCTGGGTTCGTAACTGGTCAAAACAGAAAAATCGTTAGTTATCTTATCTGTACCAATAAACAAATCTAACTTCAGCAGCAACAAGTAAATCACATCAGCTGAAGCCTGAAGATGAGCGGTGTTATGATTCTGTTACAAGACCCTATGGCTGAATCTTACTGCCTTGGGTCATAAGTATGAAAATCATTAGAGCCTAGGCCCTAGACACTGCAACCATACTTTAATCAAGTTCAACCTAAACTTCTATTCACAAAAGATTTCCATCCGAGTATAACACGGTTGATTTCGCAACTTCTTCCCTTCTTTGAGTAAGAAAGCTACCAATCAAACACTTTAACACTTATGCTCAAAGAAAACACTCAGAAAACCCTAGGTAAACCTTATCTTAAAAATATGCTAGGTTTAGTAGAACACTAAAACTCTACAACAGCATATTAGAACAATGGCTGAGACTTATCTTTTAAGCCTATACTTTTGATAACACAGAGTTCAAAAGTCTGTTCAAAACATTTCCCTTCAATGTCATGGATGAACATAAATATGTGATGAGGTATTCATCAATTTCCCCCCTGAACTTGTGACCATTAGCCAATTTCCCCCCTAAACTTTAATTTAGCCAATTTTCCCCCTCAACTCTCATAATTAGTCAATTTGCACCATACTGTTAATTTTTTAATTTGATCATAATTAAACAAGTGTGTGTAAGAAACTAAATAAGATGTATGTTAATCAAGTTCATATATCTTTATCCTATTACAAATAGATTAAAATTTAGAATTTTAGAATTTATCATGGATAGTATTATTAGTCATAATAAATTAGTATGGAGTAATTTTATTTGATTTTTGACTATACAAAATTGATAACGAAAAGGATTGATGTGTAAATTTTTGTATGTGAATACAATTTTCTTTATAAAAGTGAAAGCTAAGTTCAAGTAAATTGCGGAGAATCGAGCTTTAGTGCAAAAATGGCTAGTCAATTCATAATTTTCGACTCCTTATTAAGAATAACCCATTTTATTGAAATAGGTCTGATCCATGAGTTTAGGATTATTATTTCTTTTTGTTATTATTTCTTCTTCTACATGCTTTAAACCCGATTCATAAATTTTTCTTATAATCAACCCATATCACATACTAATTGTATTATGTTTTTGTACATTTTACCCTATATTATGCAGGTGAGTTTATGTTAATTTTAGTACTTTGTTGGAAGTTATTAGAAATATTGAAAATTAAAAAAAGAATAGATGGAAAATTAAAAAAAAAAATTAACAGTAGGGTGCAAATTAACTAATTATGAGAGTTGAGGGGGGAAATTAGCCAAATTAAAGTTGAGGGGGGAAATTGACTAATTATGAGAGTTGAGGGGGGAAATTGGCCAAAATTAAAGTTGAGGAGGGAAATTGACCAATGGTCACAAGTTCAGGGGGGAAATTGATGAATACCTCATATGTGATTGATACAGCTGGAAGGGAAGAAACAAAATCTTTAATATGATTCTGTCTATCCAGCTCAGCATGTTTCTACAATCACAAGCACATACTGCATTTTACAGTACTTGATGTTTTAGCAACTGAATGCCTTGCTGGTAGATAGAGCAGCTTGTTATTCTTTGTGTGAGGTCAAAGATCCTAAATGTAATTGTGAAGCAGTACCTCAAAATAAGCAAAATTTAACCATACCTTTGAGAAGTGAGCATGCATTAGGCATGCTTGGAGGTAACTTGCTTCCCTTGCAAGTCGAAAAAAAGCAATAAAATTACCAGTTCTGCAAGCTCTGCAAGAGGAAATCAATTGATATCAATATTCCAGTTTACACAACGAAATTAGAAAACACATGTGAAGGAAGTGATTACCTAGCGACATCACGTGCAAATAGCACCTCTGAAGTTTGTCTTATTTCTGGAGTCATCTTTGCAAGATCAAGCGAGAGCTCTGCAGGTTCAACCTAGCAGGAATCCCTTAATTTTAGACAACAACAAAATGAACCATGTACAACAGAGTGACTACTGCAGGAGACCTTACCATGTACCCAGGATGCTTGTCCAGCTTGAGAAGGGCATAATAACCTCGAAACTCTTTTCTGTAGGAATGTTTATTCCTTTCTTTCTGTGATCATCATACAATTGGAACAATTCAACAGATGTTTTATTCATCTGTTCAATATTGAGGTGTGCATCAAATCCCTCAGCAAAGCCTTCTCCTCTTGAGTATTCACATAATTCATGCATGACAATTATGTGAAGTCTTATCTGAAACTCAATGCGTAACAATCAGTCAAACAGAGCTTTGTATTTATCACCAACCAGATGCATCTTTTGAAGAAAAAAAAAATGCAGAGATAATATGTATGTGAAATACATAGAAAGGCAAATAGGAGTTTCTGGGTTACGTATCTATACAAAGAAAGAAAAACATAGCATGAGTAAAAAAAAGGTCGTACCCAGTGCACAAGGCTCCCGCTTTACGCAGGGTCTGGGAGAGCAAAAGGACCTCAGAAACTATGAGGAAGAGCAATAAGAATAAGAGAATTTTGCTATCCCATTATCCTCACTCCTTTCATATAAAAAAAAAAAAAATCCGCACATTTTTCTTCACACTACTACAACAACAACAACAAAGCCTTTTCCCACTAAGTGGGGTCGGCTATATGAATCCTAGAACGCCATTGTGCTCGGTTTTGCACATGTCCAAACCCATTTTGTGTACGTGTTGATGCTTCACCGCCCAACATTCTGTGCCATACATCATCGCCGGCCTTATTGCCGTCCTATAAAATTTTCCCTTGAGCTTCAGTGGCCTACGACGGTCACACAACACGCCGGATGCACTCTTCTACTTCATCCATCCAGCTTGTATTCTATGGTTAAGATCTCCATCTAATTCTCCGTTCTTATGCAAGATAGATCCTAGGTAGCGAAAACGGTCGCTCTTTGGTATTACCTGATCTCCGATCCTCGCCCCTAACTCATTTTGGCCTCCATTTGCACTAAGCTTGCACTCCATATATTCTGTCTTTGATCAGCTTAGGCGAAGACCTTTAGATTCCAACACTTCTCTCCAAAGGTTAAGCTTCGCATTTACCCCTCCTGAGTTTCATCTATCAACACTATATCATTTGCGAGAATCATACACCAAGGAATATCATCTTGAATATGTCCTGTTAACTCATCCATTACCAACGCAAAAGGGTAAGGACTTAAGGATTGTTGATGCACAAAATCAGTGAGGACTTTGGTACAACAGAAAGTATTAAGTTATTGCTCTGGTCTTAGTGTGGATAAGTTTGTAAAAGGATAAAGACAGGAAAGCAAACATAAGATGTACGTGGTTCACCTAGATTGGCTACGTCCACGGAGTAGATGAGTTCTCATTAATTGTGAAGGGTTTACACAAGTACATAGGTTCAAGCTCTCCTTTAGTGAGTACAAATGAATGATTTAGTACAAATGACATTAGGAAATATTGTGGGAGAATGATCTCGTAATCACGAAACTTCTAAGTACCGAAGTGTGGTATCGTCTTCACTTGCCTTATCTGTCTCATAGGTAGATGTGGCATCTTCTCTGGAAGTACTCTTCCTCCATCCAGGGGTGGTATCTTTAACTAGTGGAGATGCACAAGGTAATGTATCAATTTCACTTGAAGCTTACTTGTAGTTTCAGGCTTGGTCAAACGCGATACAAACCATGTAGTAGGAGTCCCCCAAGTCGCCGAGCTAGGGGATCTGCTGAAAGAGGTGACAGACAAGGTAAGCAATCAGAGCTCCAAGCAATCAGTCCCAGATCAGAAGTTTGATTTCGAGTTCCGGCTGATTGTTCTCATTCTCCCTATCTTGCAGGCAGCATGAAGGATAAAGAGAAGAAAAGGAGAATAGATGATATGAGATACTTTTGCTTTTGAAGAAGTAACTTTCCACAGGCTTATTCTTGAACTGGGCGGGAGGGTTTTCTGGTTTCCTCCGGAGTATAAGGCCGACTGAAGAATTTGAAGGTCAAAACAAGTCCATCAAATCTAGAGTACGTTCGACCCTGCTGATATGGGATACTTTTGCTGTTGACAAAGTAGTGGATGTATCGGCACGCGTTCTATTACGCTTGTCTCCACATGCTTCCTTGTATCCTTCTCACTTTCCCTATCGGTTCCTCAGGCAAATGTGGTATCTTCTCTGGAAGCAAAAGATGTTGAAGATGTGTACTCGAGAGCAATGCCAGGTAAGTAATCAGGTAAAGGGTTCCAGGCAGTCAGTTCCTGACTGGAAGCTTGATTCCAAGTGCTGACTGATTGCTCTCTTTCTCCTTGTCTTGCAGGTAAGAACAAGGCCAAAGGAAAAGACAGGGAAAAAGCATGAATAATGGGATACTCTTTGCTTTTAACCCTGATGATATGAGATATTCTTGCTCTGGTGTAGCTTGTTTGCAGAGGTATTATCGGGGGAAAAGAAAGCTGAGTATTTCGAGAGGCTTCGTTGGGAGTGCCCTCTCAGATATGAGGAAGGGTTGAGCATTTTTGCAGGTCTGCCTGTCCGTTGAGGATGGAGGTCGACATATATAGGAGTCTCCCTAACAACAAGTAGTAATGCTATTCCTTTACCCTACTTGGTCATAGCACGGTAGTGGGAGCTGCCAGCTTCACGTGTGTCAGAGCACTTTGAAAAGTGATCTGTGGTATCTGGAAAGCTGATGTTGCGTGTGAAGATTACAGACAAGCTTTATCCAAGAAGATCTGGCTCTCGAGAAAGCGGTGCCTCTTCGGTTTTTGAACAAGCAATCCTGTCGGGGATCTGGCTCTCGAGATTCGGAGAACGGTGCCTCTTCGATTTTTGAGAGAGCAATCCTGCTGGGAGTCTGGCTCTCGAGATTCGGAGAGCGGTGTCTCTTCGGTTTTTGAGAAATTAATCATGTTGGGAGTTTTGGCTCTCGAGATTCGGAGAACGGTGCCTCTTCGATTTTGGAGCAAGCAATCTTGTTGGGAGTGTTTTCTTGAAAGTGAGTAAAGGTAGGGCATGTTTGCTAGTCTACCTTGCCACGGAGCACAGAGGTTGACACACAGGGACTTTCCAATTATCCAGCAGTGGTGCTGTTCCTTTACCCTTGTGGGTAATAATATGATAACTAGACCTTCAAAATTTATGTGTCTAAACTTTGTTAGTGCTGTTTCTTTGCTATTCTTTTACCCTTCTTGGTCATAGCGATGTAGTGGGAGCTGCAAGCTTCACATGTCTAAACTTTGTCAGAGATCTTTGGCAAAGTTATCTGTGGTACCCCTGAGCTGATGGTGCGTGTGAAAAGTGGATGATTGAACAGTAAGATTCACGTGCTTTCTACTTCATCAGAAATTTTCAACAGAATGCCCGTAATTTCAGCAAAGCTGAGTGCATGTGACAGGTGCTGACAAGGCTAAAAAGTGCCTCTTCGATTTCTGAGATCGGCCCTCGTGGTCTCTGAGCAGCCCAGCTTTTGAGAAAGCAAGCCTCTTCGATTTCTGAGATCGATCTTCGTGGTCTTTGAGCAGCTCAGCTTTTGAGAAAGCAAACGCCTCTTCGATTTCTGAGATCGGCCCTCGTGGTCTCTGAGCAGCCTAGCTTTTGAGAAAACAAACGCCTCTTCGATTTCTGAAGCTCCGTCGAGTGCAGATTTTTATAGAGGCTGGCATTAAGTTTCAAAGCACACTTGAATCTTCACCAGTAGAAGCTCCCTTCTTGCACTTCTAAGATCTTGATTTGTCCGACCTCTTCTCTCTTCAACACCTTTGAAAATGTCTGGCCCCTCCGACCGTCATTTTGACTTGAACCTTGTTGAAGAGGCAGCCACACCTTCTCCAGACAACATATAGCGCCCATCCTTCTTATCCCCTACTGGTCCTCTTACCGTTGGGGATTCCGTGATGAAGAATGATATGACTGCTGCGGTGGTGGCCAGGAACCTTCTCACTCCCAAAGATAACAGACTACTTTCCAAACGGTCTGATGAATTGGCTGTTAAGGATTCTCTGGCTCTGAGTATTCAGTGTGCAGGTTCTGTGTCTAAAGGCCTATTTGCTCGAACCCGCCAAGTTGAATCATTGACGGCTGAAGTGATGAGTCTCAAACAGGAGATTAGAGGGCTCAAGCATGAGAATAAACAGTTGCACCGGCTCGCACATAACTATGCTACAAACATGAAGAGGAAGCTTGACCAGATGAAGGAATCTGATGGTCAGGTTTTACTTGATCATCAGCGGTTTGTGGGTTTGTTCCAAAGGCATTTATTGCCTTTTTCTTCTGGGGCTGTACCGCATAATGAAGCTCCAAATGATCAACCTCCGATGCCTTTTCCTTCTAGGGTTCTGTCCAATATTGAGGCTCCGAATGATCCCCCTCCGATGCCTTCTCTTTCTGGGGCTCTACCGACTGCTGAGACTTCTCCTAAGCAACCTTTGTGAAGGCTCCCTCTTGTTTGTTTATTTTGACTCATGTATATGTACATATTTGTAACTTATCGGAGATATCAATAAATAAGTTTTGCTTCATTTCCAACGTATTGTGTTAAATACACCAAAGCTTTCTTCACTGAGTGGGGTCGGCTATATGAATCTTAGAACACCATTGTGCTCGGTCCTGTGTCATGTCCTTCGTTAGATCCAAATACTCTAAGTCTTTTCTTAGAGTCTCTTCCAAAGTTTTCCTAGGTCTTCCTCTACCCCCTTCGGCCCTGAACCCTGTCCCGTAGTCGCATCTTCTAACCGGAGCGTCAGTAGGCCTTCTTTGCACATGTCCAAACCACCGTAACCGATTTTCTCTCAACTTTCCTACAATTTCGGCTACTCCTACTTTACCTCGGATATCCTCATTCCTAATCTTATCCTTTCTCGTGTGGCCACACATCCAACGAAGCATCCTCATCTCCGCTACACCCATTTTGTGTACGTGTTGATGCTTCACCGTCCAACATTTTGTGCCATACAGCATCGCCGGCCTATAAAATTTTCCCTTGAGCTTTAGTGGCATACGGCGGTCACACAACACGCCGGATGCACTCTTCCACTTCATCCATCCAGCTTGTATTCTATGGTTGAGATCTCCATCTAATTCTCCGTTCTTTTGCAAGATAGATCCTAAGTAGCGAAAACGATCGCTCTTTGGTATTTCCTGATCTCCGATCCTCACCCCTAACTCATTTTGATCGGCTTAGGCGAAGACCTTTAGATTCCAACACTTCTCTCCAAAGGTTAAGCTTCGCATTTACCCCTTCCTGAGTTTCATCTATCAACA